TCAAACTCGAACAACAGGGCCTCCAACCGACCAAGTTTTTCGGTGACGATCTCGATCGCATCGGAATACACGACGAGTTGGTTCGCATCTTCGATAGGCTCGGGTGGTCGAGCTTTCTGACAGTACATGAGAAGAGTTTCAAGACTTTGACCCTGGAGTTCCTCTCTACCATCCAGTGCTACTTTCCGAGCGATGGCAGTACAGCGAATGCCTACATGGACTTTCGGATGCGGAATACCGAGTACCGCCTCTCAATGCATCAGTTTGCCGATATCCTCGGCATCGCACCAGGTACATCTTCGAAGCTCTCTCTTTTCCTACCTCAGCGTCAGGAAGCATTTTGGCAGGCTATCGCCGCTCGATCGTACGAGAGTCGTACCGCGAAGGCCACTTGGATCCACCACCCAGTAACCCGGTATTTTCACCAATTCCTTACCAGCTGCCTCCTCATCCGAGCTGCCGGCAGCACGGTGAATCATCAGGAACTTGGTTTTCTCCGCTGGGCTTTGAGCGATGCCTTCGACGGCGACACCTGGGGAATGGAGGAAGTTTGCCTTGCTTCCCGTATGGTGATGCATCTCGAGACTTTCGCTCAACCAGGGAATCCGACCGACGTCAAGACGTGCGTCGGCGGCATCATCACCATGATTGCTCGTCGCGTGGGCATTAATGTCGGACTCTATTCCGACGATGTGATCCCGGGCCACACCCTCCTGGATATTGCTGCGTTGGTCCAGAAATTTCACCTCTCCGAGCGACCGGTACACTGGCAATGGAACTATCTGGACCATCAAGGTAACCGCCAGCGCGTACGCCTGCCTTGTCCTCATCTACCACCAATCACTCCAGCCGGTCTCCTCTTCCGAGCTCCCTTTGACGATGTCCCTAGTGACGATGCTGCCATGTCGGATGTTGACCAGCCTTCCTCTCTCGGGGTCCTCAGCCCTACCCTCTTCCTTCCGAGGACTTCTCTTTCGACATGCCCCCCTCACCACCACCGGATCCGAGCTCCCACTCATTTCCCGACTACTCTGCTCAGATTGACATGCTCAGCCAGAGGATGCAGAGTATGGAGACGACCATGCACGGGTTCGGCGCTCAGCTCCAGTCTTTTGGAGATCTGATACGGACAGAGTTCGACGCTCAGAGGCAGTTCTGTGAGCAGCAGCATCAGATGGCACAGTACGCCAGGGAGTTTCATCGCCGCTATGATGCGAGGTATGCAGCCGACAGCGACGCCCCCCTGATCCCTCTTCCACCTGGATACCCGTACTCGTCATACTACTATCAGCCAGGACCACCACCACCTCCTCCAGAGCAGTGAGCGTTTACTAGTTCTTTTGCTTTTATTTTGCTTTTGCATTTTCGGACTGTTTTATTTGGGTTTATCAGTTGTACTTTTTCGACTTGACGATTAAATATGTGCCAGCTTCTCCACTGTATACTCCTGTCGAATCGGAATGAAATGTGCGGACTTCGTCAATCGATCGACGACCACCCAAATAACATTCTTCTTCGCTGGGATAGGGAGCACGCCATTCATTCACGCTAAGTATTCTTTTACCCCGTTCCCTTTTGGTTTCTCTCGCTGATTTTCCCTCTGCCCAAGACGACTTGACACCGCGGACGGTGTCTTGTTCCAGTATGGGGGAGGATAGTCTGACAACTTGTTTCTCCCAGACACCGCAGACGGTGTCTTGTTCTAGTCTAGGGGAGGATAGTCTGACAACTTGTTTTTCCCATTTTGACAGTCCTTAATGCATTTTAGCACATCATCTAGTAAATCTGCATAGAAAAAAAAAAACCCCGATTTTAGGTGATCAGTTAGAAGATTCATGAGCGATAGAGTAAAAATCTCTTGAGAGTATAGATGGACCCGGCTTAGTTATCTAAGCGCCCGAATGAATTGTCGGACTTATCCGAAAAGGTAGCTTGACCTGAGGATTGATCTATAGGTTATGAGATGAGTCGTTGCCTAGGATGAAAGAGGGAACGAAAGCCTTCTAACCCAAGCTTATATGTTTCCCTAAAAACCGTTCCCCATTTGCAGGAATATTAGGCCCTATATAGTCTAGCGAACCCTCTTTATCTATCTTTATTTCTTTTGACTCGTTTAGACACACA